TCGGATTTAGCAAAGGGCATCGCAAAATGTGAAAGAACCAGAAGAAGCAGAGGAAGCAAATGAAAACGAAACCGAAACCGAAACCGAAACCGAAATGTTGCAAGGTCACAGCTAAACTTGGTGGCAGCACCTTGAACACCGTCAAGCGCACGCAGCTGAAAAATGTGTTAGAAATCGGAAAGGAAAACGAAAAGAACTTTATCATAGATAAAAGACAAATTCCGAATATTTGTAAATAGATATTAGAGGATTTTTTATTATATAAATTTCTTTTTATTATCCTTAACATTTTCTAAATTTTTTAATTGTAATTTCATAATCTTGCGGATTTATGTAGAGGCACACAGATTGATTATATGAATAAATAAGTAGATGAATATATAAGTATTATGAAATAGATATTTAGATTGATTAAACTTATTATTACATTACAAATGAAGTGGGTTGGTTCCCATGATAAACAATGTTTAGTATATTGAATAGTAGCATTACTATGACTATGATTTAATAAGAATATAAGCTCATCATCTTCTAATATACTTCAGCTAAGGTCAAATATATATAATTAAGTGAATCAATCATGATTTACGTCAATTTGTTTTTTTTTTTTACATAAATCTTGCATTTCCAATAAAGATCTGATAGCTCGCTACGAAGAGCTTAGGTTGGGTTCAGTTTTTTCTTCTTATAGCACTTACATCTAAATATGTATCACAAACTTTTTACTCATTTTCATTGTAGCCAAAGATAGATTATATAGAACTAGATATTGATATCGATCTATTTCTGTATAATCTAGCCTATATATGTAATTATATATATTATATGGATATGGATATACGATTATATTAAAGTTGGTTATTCTAAAACTTAAAGATAGATTATATAGAAATAGATCGTTATCAATATCTATTTCTATATAATCGTTATCAATATCTATTTCTATATAATCTATCTTTAAGTTTTAGATCTTTATCAATATCTATTTCTATATAATCTATCCTTAAGTTTTAGAATAACCAACTTTAATATAAACGTATATCCATATCCATGTAATATATAGTCATATATAGGCTGCATGCTCCGTTTACTATGCACATATATAAAAATATCTGTATACATATAGATATATACATTCCTATATCAAAGTCTTCAAAGATATCGTATTTATCAAAACCAAAATCTCATGTAATCTCTAGTTTAATGAAATTCCACAATTCGGAAAGATTCATACCATCCTAAATTTAAAATAAAACCTTTTCTGATAAGAATATCTACTCTTATACATGCTATAAGAATGCAATATATGTATGTATACATATGTTGCTCAATGTATTTTTTTTTATTTGTATAGCTTATATATTATTAATATTGTTATTCTATTACCTTAAATGTATTTTGATATGTAGATAGTTTCTGCGATTTCAGACACAATAATTACAATATTATCATGGTTAAAGAATACCAGGGAATCTACATACCAAAGCTCGTAGATCCTTAACACTCTAGAAGACCTGGAGATATATATATTATATTATATTATTATATATTAATCAAATCCATATTTAGATACTCTAAGAGCCTCGCTTAATCTAAATATAAGTTGATTGTGATTAAAAAATGTATATATATGTATATGTATGTACATATTCACATCTGCTGAAATCTATATATAGAATGCCTACATGTTATCCAAATTACTGATTATCCATAGGATCCACCAAGAATTTGGACTTTTAATGAGCTTAATGAGTACTGCTGTTGCTCGCCGTTAACATGGGAACAGTTAAAATCAAAGTAGGACCGTTAGTTACAGCAGCAGCAGCAGCAGCAGCAGCAGCAGCAGCGGCAGCTGTAGTAAAGCGAAACTAGTTGCCGGTGGGCGTTTGGCCACGTGGGCACAGGTGAATCCACTCGAAGCTCCTTTGAGTGCTTCGACAATGGCTAAAAAAGTAAAACAAAAATAAGAGAAGGAAACGACGCAAAAGAAAATAAGAAATTGTAGCGGATTCTCTGATAAAACCACGGCAACTCAACAACAAACGTAAACGTGGCTGCCAGGCGAAGCCAAATGCACTCACTCACTCACTCGCGCTCTCTCGCTCTCACTCACACACACACACACACACACACACACACACACACACACACGCAGAGACACTGACACGTGTACATAGGCAGGCAGCTGAATTTTCCGCATTTTCCATAGCAGCTAGCGTTGTGTCTGTGAGCCGCTATTGCAGTCGCTTACGCTGCCAGCGACGGCGACGGCGACGCCGACAGCGACAGCGACAGCGACGGCGACAGCGACAGCGGCTATGTCTGCCTTTGCCACCCTTGTGGCCAACAAGGGCTATCCTGGCGTTTTCGTTTTCCACGCGTTGCTTTTCCTCTTATTTTTCGTGTGTGTTTTTATTTGTCTTCCTCTTTGTGGCTCCTATTCCTGGTTTTTCGTTTTTGGATTTTCACGACAAACGCGAAAAGAAAACTCGCTCTCACCCTCTGTAGCTGTGTGTGTGTGTGTGTATGTGTGTGCCGCTCCCGCTCGCTCTCAGCGACAGCGACGTCAATGTCAACGTCAGCGTCAGCGCCAACGGCGCCGCTGGCGTCACAGCCCACAAATGCGAAGCCAATTCACATGGAAAATATTCGGTTATCCGTTTGGAACATTGGCGGCGGTGTTTTAATTTCTTCTCTATGTTTTTTATTTTTTTCTTATTTATTTTTATTTTCAGCGGAGGAGCACAGGTCAACAGAGCTGCTACAGTGGCTGCCATAATTCTATGTACATTGAATGCTTTAGGCAATTTTTGTTATTTAATAAGTTTTTAAATTTACAAAAAAAAAAAAAATATTAATATTAAATTATACTATTTCGGTTAAAAATATACAATATATTTATTTTATATTTTTATTTTCTCCTTTTTTTGTATGCTGTCGTTTTCTTAAGCTTGTATCTGTATATAATTAAATAATGTATATTAATTATTTCAAATAAAATTTTAAAAAAATATTAAAAAAAATTTAAGTAAATAAAAATAAATAATTTTCCAATTATTTTTATATATGTATTTTCTTAAATTCTATATTTATATATAGATCATTTTCAAATTATTTTCATATACGTATTTTCCTAAATATGGAAGAATAATTTACAGTTTGCGCACAAATTTTAATATAATATATAAAATACTATTTATATTCAATGAAATATTTTTCGAATTGCCCACGAATATAATCAAAAAAAATTTTAAATAAAAATAAAAAAATATATCAAATTATTTTCACATATTTTCGACTATTTGCAACATCTTGCTATCTATCACACGACTCTCAACTGCTGCTAGGCACTGTAGCCTAGGCTGATAGCAGCAGCAACAACAACAACAACAGCAAAGGCAAAGGCAAAGGCAATGACAACAAGCGAGAGCAACGCCTGCTCAGCGACTCGACTCGGAGGCCGCCGTGCAGCCGACTTTGTAAACGGATGGACGGACGGATGGGCGAACGGACGGATAAACGAGCGGATAGACGCCCGCTTACACGCACACACACACAAACGACTGAGCGTACGCATACACACGCACACACACACATGCATACAGGCACGCAAAACGCTCACGCACAGGCACAGTTACATACATGTCGGCCATTTTGATTTGACGCCGCCGCAATGACAACAACAACAACAAGCAGAAGAAGTAGTAGTAGTAGAAGAAGCAGAGGAAGAAGAAGAACAGCTCACGCATAACTTTCACTGTTTGTGGATAGGAAAAATGCGACGGTGACTTCGCTGCCAGCGACAGCTGCTCGGCTGCTGCTGCTGCTGCTGCCTTTGCTGCTGCTGCTGCTGCTGCTGCTGCTGCTGCGACTGCGTGGATTTTCCACAGACATTTTCATTGAAACGCTTTGGCGTCGTTGGCAGTTTACTCGTCGCCGTGCCGCGCGTTCGTTCGTTCGTTCGACTCTCAGCTCTCGAAACCGAAAACCGAAACCAAGCCAAAACCCAAGAAAACAAATAAAGAAAGCAAAGCAAAGCAAAGCGAAATAGTCGACCAGCCAGCAAGAAAGAAAGCTAGAAATAATCAAGAAAATACATACCAAAATTTATTTTTCGACATTGTCGCCGTCGCCGTTGCCGTCGCCGTTGCCGCCGTGGTCGTTGTCGTTGTTCTTCTTCATTTTTTTTTTTGTCTGTTGGAAGAGTGCAAAAGTGAAGCAAAAGCGATAACGATAGTGATATCGATATCAATGCCGATAGCGATAATACGCACGCTAACACAAACCGAAAATCCGAAAAAACCATAATCAATTTCAAGCAATTGATAATTTGTAATTGTAAGCAAGAATTTTCCAGTTTTCTTTAGCAGCGACGTCGACGGCGACGGTGACGGCGACGCAGCCGTTGCCGCTGCCGCTGCCGTCGGCGTCTTACGCACTCGCACGCATCGACTGCTGTCTCGCTCACACCCAACAGCCTAACAAACAGCCACTCACTCTCCTTCTCTCTCCATCTATCTCACTTTTTCTCATTCTCACGCGTACTCGCTCTCTCTCTCTCCCACTCTCTCTCTCTCCTGCCTCCTGCTCCTAACGCTGCTGATTCTGTCCGCCGTCTTCTTTGTCACCTACACAAAAATCAATAAGCTTCCCTTTACCAACAAATACAACAACAACAACAAGAATACGTATATCCAAATTCTTGTTGTTTTTCTTTCGTTATTTTGTTTTCGCATAAAATCAATCAAATTAAAGATTTGGTGACGCGCCGTTTCACAACACTGGCCCAATAGCGTGATAGCGCAGGAAGTGGCTGGACGAAGGGATAGTGGGGGGGGGGGGGGGGGGGGGGGGGGGGGGGGGGGGGGCTGAGTGTTAGTTTGGATTCGATTCTATTTGATTAGAAAAACTTAGATACCATTTGTTGAGCTGTTCACTTTGAAGTTTTCCTAGAAACATTTCATCAATTCATTTTCACTAGTCAGTTTCAATTTTTCACCCTCAAAAACAAAAATTATCCAAAATAAAAATCCAAAAAGTAATTAAAACCCATCCATCAATCCAATTCATCTAGATAGATACATTGAACTATATAAAAATATATATTTTGATATAGTTTAATGTATTTATATTTCTAATAATATACATATATTTTATATATTCCTTTCACATTTTCCATTCGTTTAGATAATACATTACATATATACACATACATATAGATATATGGTTGTATATGTATGCAGATAGAGCTACCTGATCTTATCTATCTTTCCTTTCGATCAAGTCCATTTGACGACTATTAGACACTGATCAGCCAACATCAAAATCGCAAGTGGGACCCCAATTTCAAATCAGAAGAAGAATTTAGAGATTAACAGAAACGAACAAGAACAAAGAATACCTAAAAAAAAAAAAAGTAAAATATAAAAAAAATTCAGCAGTCGCGAGCGAGCGAGCCCATGTTCGAGTAGAGGAAGTTTTGCCAGAGACACGCGGACAGATAGACTGGACGGACAGTTCCGGGCTTATAGATATACATTTGTATGTATATATAACTCGTAGTACCGTTAGGCCACACAAAACGCACGCCATTGGAATTTGAAAACTGGCAATTGGAAGACTGGAAACTGTGCAACAACAACAACAACATTTGTTGTCACTGGCCGCCTAGCGATCTATTTATTCATACATTGTTTTCTTTTCGGAACAGCCAATAGTCGCCAAACCGTCAGCAGCCAGCAACAACAATCAGCATCAATCGCCATCAAGCAGACAGGCCAAGCAGTCGCAGTCAATCAGTCAGTCAGTCAACAGGAATCGGTAAGTACATAAATGAAATTAACAATATAAATATACATACATACATACATATAGCTGCTGTACATCACATGTACATCAGCTGATAAGGAAGTGAAACGTACTTCAATCAATATATGTAGATCTAGACAGATATTTACATAAATATTAATATAGATATATGAATGATGAACATTTTGTAATAGTTTAGGTTTTTATGTATGCAGATATATCCACAAAGTTAAACAAGAATCTTAAGAATTCCTTATAAATCATATTTCATCTTAGTATGTGTATAGATAGATATGGTATCTAGATAGATATTTACATAAATATTAATATGTATATATAAATGAAACACATTTTGGAATGGTGCAAGAGCTATTAGAATGCCTTACAATCATATTCCATTTCAGTGTATGCCATATATCTGTATATGTAGCGCTGTTCATGAAGATATTGCCCCACATAATTTAATCGCAATATTTTGAAAACAGCTTGAAGAGAGTTTTAAGCCATACATAAACAAATTTTTTATGGATTCAACAATTTCAACAATATTCCTAGGGACTTTAGAAAAAAAGTTAAGGAGATTTAGTTGATCCAAAAAATTTGAATTGGTTTTTGTAGCATATCATATACATACATAGATATAGTTAGACTAATGCCAACTAGTTTTTGCCCGTGTTCATGGAAAAGCTAATAGTTGTAGCTACTACTATGGGTAATGGTAGTGGTAGTTGTAGGCTCTAATATTTCCATGAGCACAGGAACAACTTGGTAACATGAGTCTAGATTCATATATTATGTTTCACTGTGCTTAAATAATGTATATGATATATGATTTCTCACTCAGTTAATGGAGCTTATAGAACAAAAAACTATATATATCTTATATGAAAGATTTATGATAATAGAATCCGGATATAACGACTCCGCTGTCCCCACACAAACTTATAACGTCTTCGGGGTATAACTATGGTGCCTTGAGTGTCATTATAACCTGATTCTACTAAATTTTGATTTAGTTTGTTTTGTCTAGTTTAATACTACTATTGTACTTAGCAGAACTCTATATACCGTAGAATCTCGTTATACCCGTAAAAGATAATAATGAAAATCCTTTGCAAAATTCGCTTAAGCTAGACTTTAATCTATTTCTAAGTCGAAAGCAAAATAAATAAGAGCCTTACAAGGAAAGAGAGAGAGAGAGAGAGAAGGAGAGATGTTAATTTTTCATAGAGATGTAAAATTTACCAGAGCTATCATGAATACAGTAAAGACTGACTAAAGCGAGCACAACTATTTCTATGGGTAGTTAAGTTGAATAAGAGCCTTAAGAATCAGTGCAGAATCTCTTTCTATATTACTCACACTTATTCATATCATATATTTACACACATATATCATACACACATGTATGTATACGTATATATGTGGATGCCTTCCTCATCCATAGCCCTTCATTGAGTTACTCTCTTCAGCTTTTCCTGCTCAATAATCTCTTGATGAGCTCAATTTGGTCGCACATTCTGAGCACTAGCCGAAGTTTGTTTTATGTAACAGATGCAGCAATAAACTGTGGCAGCTATGTGTGGCATAGAGTTGCGTCTGTTGCGTCTGTTGTTGTTGTTGTTGTTGTTGTTGTCTTTGCTGCTGCTGTTATTCTGGGGCGTTGCATTCGGGAATTGTTTCTATTTTAAATGCCGAGTAGGTCGATGGCGCGTGGCATGAATGAATCTGAAGCTGTCTGGTGTTTGCCCCAAGACACCCCATCCCCCTCCCCCCACTCCATTCCCGCAAACTCCACACACATTTCTCGCTTGGATCTCGCTTGTGTAATCCGCATAGCTGTGTCTAAATTTAATGCATTTTCACGTTGTGTGTGTGTGTGTGTGTGTCTATGTGCTTCCTCTGCATGGAGAGCAGCGCGAAATGTTTTCAAAACAATTTAAAAGTTCAATAGCCGCATAGAAGCGAATGCCGCAGAGCGCAAGAGAGAGAGAGAGAGAGAGAGAGAGAGAGAGAGAGAGAGAGAGCGAGTGAGAGTGTGAGTGTGAGAAAGAGCTAGATATATGCTTGCTAGATAACGTACAAGTATATATAAATATATATTCATATATATATATATATATATATACACACATATATATAATATTTTATACGATTATACGACCTGGCAATCTGATAAGCGTTACCCACACGGCCAGAAAAGCGCTGACGTGTTCAAATGCCGTTAAAGAACCAAAAAAAGAAGAAATATATATATATATATATAAGCGTTAATAAATATCATGCATATAGACACACACACACACACACACACACATACACCCCCACCCATGCCCCTTGAAAATGTGTCAAAAAGTTAAAATGACAGTCAAGTATATCTTAAGCCAAATGAACAGCAATTGCTAGAGCTACGTGGCCTGGTCTAAGACGCGTAAAGCTAACTAACATGTTTTATATGAAGTATTGCTGAAATGTTATACAAATCGAATTTACTATAGATACATGAATTACTCTATACATATGCTTATTACATAACACATTTGAGTATAGTCATATAGAAAAGATTGCCTAGATTTTTAACTTTTATTAGCCTACATATTTTCCATTTTCCAAGCGATTTGGCTAGTTTTCATATATTTCATTGTAGCTGCCAGAGGCAGCAGCTGCAGCAAATTTCATGCGGATAGCTCCGCCGCAAGCTGAGTTCACATAGAACATTTGGCTTCTAAGCTAGACTAAGACCTCACAAGTGCACAACACGTTTTATAGTGTTATCTAGAGGCAAATAAGTGAATGTGGGTTACTAGTTGCTGTCGTCTCAGTTAGTTTCGGTTTATCGCTCTTTCCAATGGATGGACTCTGATAGTGAGTAATATAATCAATAGCTTTTATGATAGATGTGATTGGGCAGTTATTTGAACGATAATGGTAAAATGTTGGTCATGTTCCATTATCGTGCACAAAAAAAAAATAAATAAATAAATAAAAAAAAAAAAATAAAGAGAGACAAGTGAAAGTGTTTTTGCTCGGAACTAAGAGATACTCTATAACTATATAAATTATATGTGGTTAATGTAAATCTTGGTTAATATGTAACTCTTTTTAACAAAAGTTTTAATATTGATATTAATCGACTTGGGAACCTTATCGATTATTTAAGGCAAGCTTATTATAACGATAACTATTCGAACTATCTAACCTACAGCCAAGTTCGTCAAGAGAACAAATAGGTTTCAATGTTACTTATACCAGAAATATATAGACTTATAAGGGTTATAAGAACTTTCTTTTATAATTTTTTTTTATAATAAATATATTTATTATTGTACCATGGAACATTAAATTTTTGACTTTAGTGAGCTATATCTTTAGAAAAAAATATATTAAATATATAAGACAAATACATATGAAAATATAATAAATATATAAGGCTATATGTATATATTACCACTCCAGCTATAGCCTCTGTACGGTTTTGAGATGATATGATGAGAATTCTGGTATCCGGATTCTGCTCTATATGGAAAAAATAATTAATGATATACATATCCTTTTAAGTGATATAGCTAGAGCTTCAAGCTTTGACGATTCAGCATGTATAGACTAGACTGCAGATATTTATAGGGAATATATATACATATATATTATATAGTATATATAGTGGTATTATATCTCCTCCCACAATCAATTAAAATGAATTCATTTAAAAACATATTGATTTACGGCAATGGGTATATCTCTGGTTTCAACTGTAAAATGCTTGAAAATTTTCAAAAAGTAATCAGCAATTGAAATACAGTAGATGTATGTATGTATATGATTTTGCTGGGGCTAGGGTAAACATTGACTCGATTGATATCTAAATTCGTTCGCATTTTGCCTAAAAGGATGCATAAAAATTCTAAATGCAGTCATTAAAATAATATGGATATACGTACACATAGATAGGCATCTATGTGTATGTGTGTGTGTGTGTGTGTTTATTTGCTTGTGTGTGTAATAGCAAAAACAAACAACAAGCGAGAGCCAGAAAGAGAGAGAGGGAAGAGTAGAGAGGGAGGGAGAGAGAGCCGTATCCATTGCATAGGCAAACAAATTGAAAATTTTTGGACGCCTTTTTGTTGACTTCATTTTGCAATTGCTTTTCAAAATTTCCATTGTTGTTGTTTGTAGATGTTGTTGTCGTCGTTGTTGTTGTTGTTGATTTGCATTAAGCGTTTATTTTTAGTAGGCCAGAATTTTTAGCTAACGACGAAAGACGAAAGGCAAATCGATTAAAGGCTTTGGTCCTTAGCACGTGACAGGGTTTTCCGCTTTGAAAGTGGCTAAAGTAACGGGAGTTGACTTGAGACCTGTTAGGGGTTAGCCAGCTGGTGGATGGGCACTACCAGCATTACAGCAAAGCAACGCCTCCCGCCTACCGCCCCCCCGCCCCACGCAACCAAAGCAAACCATGTGCCACATGGCAAATGACCATAATTGAGCTGTATAACAAGACCCAATGACCGATTAAGCGAGAGAAAGAGCCAGAGAGGCAGAGTGACAGAGAGAGAGAGAGAGAGAGTGAGAAGGGCTGC